CCACAATCAAACAACTCAAACACGGTCACTTCCTTTGGTGAGTGTATGGGGCAACCAACGAGATGGGGTGTTCAGGCTCGCTAACTGGTTTGATATGTCATGGTACAGGTTGCATTGATCGCTGCTCATGACGTCAACCACTAGAATGTCTGGTGTAGACTCGATTGTTTATAGACCACCATCATATACATGGACAATTGCTGAGTACTGCGTGAAACAACAAACAAACATAGTTTAGTTGCTATGACACCAGAGACTTGTCTTTTCTCTCAATTGAGACTGAGACAACATGTTGGTGATGTCAATGACGTGCTAACATTGGCACTGTCATTATTTTTGCGAACGTATCGTTTTCAGGTTCCTGTTTCAGTTTTTGGCACGCCTTTGTGTCTGATGAGGAGCCCGTGAAGGTCCGAGTTAGAATATTGATCTTCAGTAACCCATGCTTATCGTAACAGGCGACTAACGGGATCGGGTGGTCAGGCTCGCTGACTTGGTTGACACATGTCATCGGTTCCAAAGTGCGCAGATCGATGCTCATGTTGTTGATCACTGGATTATCTGGTCCAGACTCGATTATTTACAGACCGCCGCCATATAGCTGGAATATTGCTGAGTGTGGCGTAAAACTAAACTCACTCACTCTGATGAGGAAGACAACTGTCTGTAATTGCGGACTTTTATTGACAAAATTAACATTGAAAAGATGTTACAATTCCTTTTTCATTCAGTTCTCCGATTCACCGTAGGTTAACCCCAGTCTGAATAGGTACCTAGTACCTAGTGTTCTGTTGAGTGAGCGACTGAGTGAGGATGTTTTTTCGCCGCCTTAAGCAATATTCTAGAAATAAACTTCACACATGTGAAAACAGTATGTTGAAAGAGGGCGGGCGGGTTAGAGGTTGATTGTATACCTTCGAACGTCCTGGTGCTTCCGTTGATCATACTGTTAACCACGTTTTTTCCTGATTAAGACCCGATTATTTACAGGCTGATGTTATATCGAGTATTCACTATACCACGCCCGACACTCAAGCAACAAAATTGGCATACTGAACTGTCAAAAGCGACTTAAAGGAACACTTTTTCTTCCAGCTCATGTATGCACGTGATGTCAAGCATTTTCGGGTTCGGGCGGTGTAATAAAGATTTCTATTTTAGAGTGAGGCGTTAAACTATTAGTTATATTTAAACATATCCCTTAATACAGTGTATGAAATAAGCCAAAAACCATGCCAGACATCTGGGCTGGTAACTTCAAAAACTTACCAGCCCAGAAGAGATTTAACCAGTCCTTCTTAAATACTAAATAGACAGTGCCAATGGACACGTTTTCTGAAAAAACATTACCCATCAATCGGGCTGCCTAGCTGTAAAATTAGACCGTCCCGCAGAAATCTAGCCCGTCTCGGGCGGTCGGACGGGCCTTATTTCATACACTGATTAATATGTAATCAGCTAAACTGGTGTTGTAAAAAAATGCCTGAGCGCTGAGAAAGGGTTAGTTTTGTTATTTGTATTCTTTCTTCATCAACCTTCAGCATTTTTGTTTTTGTATATTTCTTGATGTAAGTGGAATAGCGCAATTGCCAGTAAGTGTATGTGATCTAGTAAGGCAATTCCCTTAGTCGTCTGAGTAGAACCTTTTTCGTTTCTTTCGAGTTTTAGATAGCTGACAAGATTGAAGGATTAAAAAACATATTAATGTGTAATATTTTTTTTAAATTACCTATTTTCTAAAAATCTGCTCTCTTCGACTTTGGTGAGATGAAGCAACCTTTGAAGTGAACCCTATTGCAGAGCGCGTATCAAAATGAGTAAACGATTACTCTGAAAAAGGAAGAATGTTTTTCTCTTCAAACATAAAATGTGATCACGATCAAAGCCGACATTCAATCAAAGGAATACACGACCTAGTGGGAAACAAAATTGTTTAAAAGCGTCAGTGATTAATTTTCAGTTGTGATTTCCTTGACAACTGTAACCTTTTCTGAGGTCTCGACATGACAGATGTGTCGAGTATTGACTGTTGTTAGTGGAGAGGTTGGGTAGTCCACCTGCTGCAGTCTTCGTTCAACGCGACGGCGACCATGAATTGATTAAAATATGGATTCAGTATGTGAAGTGTGTTCCACATGTCCCAACAGTGTCAAAATAAATATAAAACTTTAGAATACCGTTATGACAACCCGCAGCAATAGATTCCGTTTGGTGTGAAAGCTATGAATGGAGCACCGAAAATCGGTGATGACACCACGTGTTCACCAAATGAGTGAGTGAGTGAGGTTTAGTTTTATGCCTTAGTTTTAGTATTATTCCAGCAATATCACGGCGGGGCACACCAGAAATGGACTTCACACATTGCACCCATGTGGGTAATCGAACCCGGGTCGTCGGTGTGACGAGCGAACGTTTTAACCACTAGGCTACCCCGCCGCCCTGTTCGTCAAAAGGGTAAGCATTTCCTGCCCACGGTATCAAACAACCAGCCTCTCCAGCACAGTTATGACGTTACCAACTCTGCCACGAGGAGTGAAGTAAAGTTGTGGAGTAATCAACAGTAACAGGAAAGTAGGATTTCAAATTCAAACTACCTGAAACCATCTCCGGATGGTGAGAGTAAGAAGGACACGCCTTTTACAAAACGTTAACGTTTACGTTATATACAGGTATTCGTCGCGATAGGCTACCAATAGTATCATCTTTGTGTTCTGTATTTATTTAAACACACATCGAAGTGTTCGGTATATATGTTTGAAAAGGCAACAAGCATAAAACTAATGCCTTATTGAGTCTTTTCAATTTGTAATTCGAAAAATTAGGGATTGATAGCGAAAGCACCGATTCATGGTCAAGAGTTACGATGATCACGTACCGTTCTTGAGTTTAGTTTTCAGATTATTATGAATGCTGACGGTAGTCTTCCAGTGGTGGTCCATTAAAAAACTACCCATACTCAAGAACCATTTAATCCATCCAATCCTCAATATTCCCCATCTAATCCAGAATATGACAATTTAAATCATCTAGTCACCAATATGGCCCATCCAAAACTATAAACACTCAAGAACGATTTTATTCAACCAGTCACCAATACGGCCATTCTAATCACTAATATGGATCATCCAAAACTGTAAATACTCAAGAACCATTAAATCCACCCAATCACCAATATGAGCTCCAGTTCCGACAGCATTGGACCTTGCGACTCGTGGGGTGTAATGCGCCTCTTACTCAGAACCAGGCAAGCTATTCTTGAAACGTTAACGTTCGTAGCCCTACGAACTTCTTAAGCCCATTCTTAACACATTGGCTACGACAAAAGTTAAGAATTCTTAGGGCTACGAACGTTTCGAGAATAAGGCCTCAGGTCACTGGGTTTGATTTGAGGTACCGTTTCCGAGTTAACGCTTGTTCTTGTGGTTCATGTAAGTACGCTGGTTTGAGTTGGTTGGTTTGTTGTTTAAATCCGCACTCAGCAATATTCCAGACATATGGCGGTAGTCTGTAAATAATCGAGTGTGGACCAGACAATCCAGTGATCAGCATCACACTCATCGATCTACGCCATTGTGATACGACGATATGTGTCAACCAAGTCTGATCCCCGTAGTCGCCTCTTACGACAAGCATGGGTTACGGAAGACCAATTCTAACCCGAATCTTCGCTGGCCACGCTGTTTGAGAAAATAATCCTCTGTGATTGAACCAACTTGGAAATTACATTTTATGTCAGTGGTGCTTATTATAGTCCAAGTTACCATGAAGACGGTCTGTAAATAATCGAGTCTGGACCAGACAATCCAGAAATTGGCATCATGAGCATCGATCTACGCAATTCAGGATACGATGACATGTGTCAACCAAATCAGCGAGTCTGACCACTCGATCCAGTTTGTCGTATCTTACGGGAAACATGGCTTGCTGAAGACATATTTATTCCTGGATTTCCACAGGTCGAAGATTCACGTATTCATAATGCTTATTTTCATCGAGACCTCAGAGAAACCTTTCTTTTCACCCCAAAGAAATTTGTTTCGGTGGTAAAACGACTCTGACTTTGACTCTTTATACCCATCAATAAATTTATCATACACATAGCAACAAAAGCTATATGTTACGAATTTTATTTGTGAGAATTATATGTTGCAAAGCAATTTTTCGTTTTGCTGATTCTATTTGCTTAACGTCAAACCTTTCAGGAAGAAAATTGGATAGGTTGTATTCTGGTTATGATAGTATTCAACATTAAACAAATACCACTCAATATTTAGAAATACGGAATAAATCATGGCAATGGGCAGGTTTGACATTATATTGGTATGAACTATTACATTTAAACAATCCCATGAATGTCTTTCATGGAAATCCCATGAATGCTATAATTTCCAGAGAAGGACGACAGTAATCAATACCAATGAATACCAAATGTCTTCTGAACGATATTTGCCTGCATGTTCTATCGTAACTGAAACAACTGTGATGGATGCTGGGTATTTAACGAACATCATTTAGAGGAGGATTCGTAATCTTTTTCACCTTTCAGTAATCACCCTAACAGGAACAGTCACGTGACCATTCGCCAGGACTATATTTTGCGCATCAATGCTAGAAGATCTAGGCCAGTTATATTTGGTATCTTTCGTCTCTAAAAAGGGATATATGTGTGTGTATGTATAAATATGATTATCCACTGAAACAGATTTCCATCGACGTAGGAGCGGCGGGGTAGCCGAGTGGTTAAAGCGTTCGCATGTCACGCCTAAGACCCTGGAATATTGCCCAAAGCGGCGTAAAACTAAATTCACTCACTCAATTCATAGGCTTAAAGTGCAAATATTAGCTGTGACTATTATTTGGATAGATCACTTATAATATGAGTTGATAAGTGATGACACCAGGTGTTCGCGAACAGGGTATGCATGTCCTGCCCTGTTGATTTTGCAGCTGCATGTGTGTGTTTGACTAAAATGACTCAGTGACGTTTCTGTTTTTTCCAGGCTATTCGAGACACACCCAGATGTGCAAGATGCCTTCCTTCCATTCCGAGGTCTCTCCACGACGGACATGGAACAGAGCGCCATCTTGCGCGCGCATGCTCTACGTGTTATGATGACAGTTGACAAGTGCCTCAACAGGATTGACAGTCCTTCCAAGATCGAGGGACTTATGAGTGAACTTGGCCGTAGACATATAAACTACAATGTCAAGGCCGAGTACATTGACGTGAGTGTTTCACAAATACAATAGTTTCATAATTACTGCTGATCATGACACAGTCAGGCTAATTGGGCACTTCATCAGCTCAGGACATCATAAAAACATTCTGCAAATTTACCCCCAAATCCTGTAGCTGTGATGAAAAGAAATTTCGAACAAGAGTTGCATGACACAAACTGAACTCTTCGCAGAAAGAACGTGCTGGACCGTACTTCAATATCAGATCATCGATACCCAAGAAGCTTGAGTTGAACTTTCCCTTGCTTTGATTTCGCCAATCCGAGCAGAAACTCACGATTCCTTTGCTTAAAGAAACAGATGACAAAAAGTTGCTATTATGGATTTATGTGGAGTTTTGGAAAGTAACAATGAAATGGATATGGCTTCAGGTTTGAGAGTCAACCTAAACGTTAAATAGTTTAATGAGACTCTGAGGTTCAGATAGATTAAGCTACTTTCTGTGTTTTGATGTTACGTCACCTAATCTTGCCAGATAAAGATTGTATACGAATATTACCATAGACTACAAGCAGTCATCTATTCACTGGCATGGGGCAGATATCAGAAAATGTTTAAAGCATTAAAGCCCAGTTAGAGAATAGTGCACTGGCTATTCTTGCCATGGCCATTATACTAGTCTGTCTCTCAGTAACAGAAATGTCTGTAAAGCCAAGCCCTCTCTGACAAGTGAAGATCTGGGTTGGTCTTCAGCAACCCATGCTTGTTGTGAGAGGCAACTAACGGGATCTTGATTGACGCATGTCATCGTATCATAATGCGTTGATCACTGAATTGTCTGGTCCAGACTCGGTTATTTACAGACCACCACCATATAGCTGGAATATTGCTGGGTGCGACGTTAAACAACGAACAAACCCAGCCCTTTCTGTGATACAGATGCTTTAAATGAAGCAAGTCTAAATTCCTATAATTCAGGTTCAGAATCTCCCAACTCACTGGACCAAAAGACCGTTAAAATATGGTACTTGTTGGTCAATGCCTGGCGCTCGGCATTAATGGGTACATCAAGGACTGGTCGGCTCGGAGTCAGTATAATGTGTCTAAGTGGGGTATTGATGCTTCACTGCTGCATGGTATCTCAGTGGGCTAGCACTATAAATCCAGTTTAAGTCTGGGCTAGTACAAGCAGCCGCACATACACATACACACGCATGCACGTCGTCATATGAGCGAAATATTCTCAAGCACGACGTTAAACCCAATTTCACCTCACCTCACCCAACTCACTGGAACTCCCTTTTATATCAATATTCTATATTACACTGACTAAGCGTTAGTCCATACCATTATATCTTGCGTGCTTATGTGGGCTTGGTACTGAATTGCTCGATAGGAATAGATTACATTTATTCAATTTTCTTACTCAACACACTATTAAAACCAAATGATTGGAATCCGCTGTTGGCTGTCGCTGATATGAAGAGTACGAATACACAGTGCTATCCGATTTGATCTCTTACAAAGTTCTATTACGAATACCTGTACTCATTCCCCAAGAGAATACAATTTTATTGATTATTGATGAGTGTATTTACCTTGTTCCACGTACATTAGTGTCCACATGTTTGTATATACATTACACCTAACGGTCGGGTCGTATGATTTGGGTACGAACAGTTTGATAATGTGGTTATACGTCGCATTGTTACGTGATTCGAAACATTTAGTGAAACATTCAAGAGGCTGTTCCAATCCATAAACTCGTGTCAGAGGTCGGTGTTAAATAACAATCTGAGCTGGTAGGTGGTTTGCGGACACAGTGACGCTTTTATGCCGTGTTGGTAACAGATGCACATACCAGTCGATAACGCATACACCCATCACCAGTTACAGTTAGTTACATTAATGGACATCACTGTGGCTCATAAATCATGGGCTTTGCTGTAAAAAGATAAAAACACAATTGTTTTTATGCATCAGTGATCACTTCTCGAAAAAGAATCAGATTTCCAATGTGTTGTTTTCGTGATAACTGAACCTTCAGGACGGAGTGGTGTGCTGTGTGACATGACGTTATGTTTTCTGTTATATTTCTTGGTTTCTAGGTTATTTTTTTATATATTTCAAAACCATGGTAAGAAATGAAATTCCATATACACAAATTCAAATGAGACAAACCTATGCTACAAGCAGTAGCGGTAGTAGCAGTAGTAGTAGTAGTGGTGGTGGTGGTGGTGGTCGTAGTAGTTGGATCTTGAATAGTATGAGTGAGTGGGTGAGTTAGGTTTAACGCTGCTTCAAACAATATTCTGTGCTAGGTGAGTGTGAGTGAGTGAGTATGGTTTTACGCCGTTTTAGCAATATTCCAGCAATAACACGGTGGGGGACACCAGAAATGGGTTTCACACATTGTACCCATGTGGGGAATCGAACCCGAGTCTTCGGGGTGACGAGCGAACGCTTCAACCACTAGGCTACCCCACGGCCCCTGGCGATTAGGTGCCTGACTCTTAGAGTGTTGGTTCAAATTCAGGATAAGACCCAACAAAAGTACTAGAATTTGTACTTTACTGAAAGTGTAATCCCAAATATAACATGTGTTACATTTGACAGTTTTCTTAATGGCATTGTGTATTCACAACAGTATTCCAGTTTAATCACCTGTTTGATGAACTTAGTAGGAAAGCAGTGATGCCTTGTCATACGTTTCCCACTTAGGTGAAGCCACGAGCACGGGTATTGTGCTAGTAAACATAGAAACTTAATCAGAACAAACCAGGATTCGAACCGACTATCATAAGAGACATAGCAGAGTTGACGACTGAGCCACCCGTGTCCCCAATGGCGATGGTAGTAGTGGTAGAAGTAGTTGTAATAGCAGTTGTAGTAGTAGCAGAAATAGCAAGAGGAGCAGTCGTAGTAGTTATTGCAGAAGCAGCAGCAGCAGTAGTAGTAGTAGTCGTCGTAGTAGCAGTAGTCGTAGTAGTAGTAGTAGCAGCAGCAGCAGTAGTAGTACCAGAAGTAGTAGTAGTAGTAGTAGTTGCAGTAGCAGCAGCAGTAGTAGTAGTAGTCGTCGTAGTAGCAGTAGTAGTAGTAGTAGCAGAAGTAGTGGTAGTAGTAGTAGTAGCAGAAGTAGCAGTAGTAGTAGTAGTAGTAGTAGCAGAAGTAGTAGTAGTCGGAGTAGCAATAGTAATAGCAGCAGCAGTATTAGACAGGAGGAAGCAGTCATCACATTTCAATTGTACATGTTATCAATGGCAATATATTCTTACTTTTGAGTGTTTTTTATAAGGCAAAAACTATGTTTTTTAATATCCTTGTATATTGCTCTTTAGCGTTTCTCAAGTTGGCATCGTATATTTCAGATGATGGGCGAGCAGTTTATATATGCACTGAGATCCAACCTGGATGACCGCTGGAGCCCTGAGCTGGAGAAGGCGTGGGTTGCCTTGTTCAGCATGATGAAGTTTTACATGAGACGGGGCCTTGCAGAGAAACACAACTAAACAGGAAATATGTATGCGAAACATGAGAAGGGAGACCTTCAGTGTAAATACCTGCGTGATTCATGTAGCTATGTATGTGACAAGGTTTTGTAAATGACCTGAGTGCAGCTGCTGACAAGTTGCAAAAACGATTTTTCGAAAACGTCATTTTGCCTCGTCAACATTTACGGAAAGCGTCGAGTTCTGACGGAAAGCGCCAATTGGAACACACCACAGGATCAGACAATCAGGAAAATCAATCGGCTTTCATATCAACAATTGTATGTGTAAATGGTGTATGTAGCAGATCGTTGGATGTGACTTCGTGGCGGATATCAGTTTCTGTGCATTCAAAGCTACCTCCAAAACTGCTCTGCCTTGTGATATTACCTTCTTTGGTGAGAGAAAAGTTAGAAATATGCATCTTCCTAGATACGCCGTGTAGTCAGAAATACTTTGAATGTGTGAATATATATATATATATATGTCATTTGATTGGAATATGCGTTATACAGGACGCAGCGACAAACCCGGGGCCCACCACTCACCACTTTTAAGTGTAAAAGTACTGAATGTAATCTGCTAAAAGTACTTATAAACTATCTGGTTGTTTCTGTCTTGTGTGCTAAAGCTGAAGCATGATATCAATCTGCGAGCCCTGTTGTTTACGTTGCCTGTTTAATGCAATACACCTACACCTTAAACAATAGAACCATGACAACAACACCGGAAGTAGGGTATACGTTGGAGATTGAACGGGGTGAAGATTGGAGGGATATAAACATGTTTTACTGCTGATGTTGCCAAGTCTATGAATAACCGTTTTAATTTGGGGAAAGCAATGTGTTACTAGTTAATACATCAAACGTTGTGGCAGAATTGTTTGAACGTAACAGGGTCAAGTCTGGTGGTCGGTCCATCGCCGTTTGCAGCTAAACTTTGAAAGGATTCGTTTGTTCACATAGAGGAACTGTTACGTTAATAACAAGAAGGTATTCTTGCAAGTTAGGTAATGTTATATTGACATCGTTATTCTTATTTTCATATTTTCAGTATGTTATATCCTTCAGAAATAATAATTAACCTGAATGAATGTCGTATTAACTACGTGAGTGAATGAGTTTGTTTTAAGCATATTTTATTCATTCAAGAAAAGGATTGGGCTCAAGTTATCCAAGTTAGAGCCCTCTCCAGATTATTACACAATTCATCTTACAACAAAGTACACAAGTGACAGACAAAGGGTAGGATGTACAACAGAAGTTAACTGAGAAAGTGTTTTGTGTGAGAGATATAGATATGTACATATTTAAAAACATTCTGGTTTTCAGTGATTGGGAGACCTGCATTGCCATGTAAGATAAGATTAATATCAATCAGTGAATGAGTTTAGTTTGATGTTGTTTTGCCCGATGTATCATACAGTATTAGATATATCATAACGTATTAATTTGATGTGGGAGACGTTCTGAAGTGCTGCAGGTCCATATGTTTACCAGGAGCAACGGTATGAAGCTAAAAGCTAAGGATTCTAACCTTGGCGAATCTGGTCCAGTGCATCCAATGACGTGTAAGGGACGCAACTCTGCGTGGGAAATAGGTTAGATATTCTTGGCATCCCATATCACTGTTTGTAATTTACATTGTCAGTAACAATGCGCTCATGCTATTTTTTGAGAAGTGTATGTTCGTGACCATGAGTCTCGGACAAGCACCACCAGTAGCAACGATACAATTTGAGTGCACGATGATTTCTGAGCCTCCCGCAGCGTAGGCGTTAATGTGTGAGTATATGTGCATATGTGCGCTTAACGTGAAACGTATATGACGGAGACACTATATGGGGCAGATTCGGTCAAACAATTGTACATTGCACGTGCGATTTTATTTAGTTTTAATTTGCTTTTGAATAGTTAACATAAACAACACAGTGTCATTGTTCATTACATATCTCATCGAGTGCTTTCCTTTAGCGATGATACACGCCGAAGACCCGGGCTCGAATCCCCTCATGGGTACAATGTGTGAAGCCCATTTCTGGTGTCCCCCGCCGTGATGTTGCTGGAATATTGCTAAAAGCGGCGTAAAACCAAACTCAGTCAGTTTAGCGATGATACCTTGCCCCGCGGTGGCAGTGACCCGTCACAAACACATGCAAATACAGGTCAAGTTTCACCTGAATAGCAGGGGAACATATGGTATATGTCAGAATAGGGAAGTGCATGATTTGAACATCATGTTGGTGTCATAAAACAGCAGAATCAAGAGCGTATTGAAATTGGTGGTGGAATCATGATTGTTTATTATATATGGTCGTTTTGTTTGTCAGTGTTGTTTTGTTCTGAGAGCTACAGCCTGCACAATGTGTTACATACCCTATTTATTAAGGCGATGTTCGCATGGGCTCGGTTAATACGTTGTATATGCGTCAAGCTGATATCAACCTTGACGTACGACCAAGTGGACAAATAGTGGCAGTATTAACTGGGTATATTACCTTTACTGCAGCCTCCTTGTGTGATTAATGTCCTTAGGGAACTCCGTAAACATCTTTGTCCTTAGTAGTTTTTGAGACAGCGGGAGATACAGCGTACAATGTAGATTTAAAAATACTGATTGACACGAATAACGGCACACAAGAAAGTACAAGTGTTCCTTTATTTATTTCGAGATTTCCACCCACTGCGCAGTACAAAGCACGCGAAGAAAACTGGACACTGATATTGGAACACTTGTACTTCTATGTGTTCCAAAAAAGTACAAACGTTCCTTTATATATTTCCAGATTATCACCCACTGTGCAGTAGAAAACGCGTAGAAACGTGGACAATGATATAGGAACACCTGTACTACCACATGTTCCAAGCAAGTACAAGTGTTCCTTTATTTATTTCTAGATGTTCACCCACAGTGCAGTAGAAAGCGAGAAGAAACGTTGACAATTATATGGGAACATTTGCACTGCCATGTGTTCGCTTGTTCGTCCTCATCAATATGTAATTATTGCACATTTGTAAGCTCAGTTATATAAAGCCGTTACCGAAAGTGCCAGACTGATTACTTTCGCTGGAAGGTAGGTCATTGCAATAAAACATGGCAGCAGTGGCAGCATTTGAATACCAAGGAAACATCGTTACATGTAATAGATATGGAGCCGGCAGGTAGATACTTCAGTATCTGAAATGCATTGATCGAAATAATATTTAAACTCAACCAGTTGGGCAGGTGACCAATAAATGTTGCCTGCCCGTCTTGAACGTTGCCTGCCCGCTTTTATGACTCATAAATTGCATTTATCATTGTTTTAAATGTGAATTAATTCAGCAAATTAAAAACAACAAGTATGATTTTAAATACTCAGTCACATCCCCAGCCTGTGACATTTGAAAAGAGCCTGTTAAACTTGCAATTCCCCTTATCGGTTTACATCATCAAAATGATATATTTTCTGAAAAGTTTTGATAGCGAAAGTTTAGAGCGATACCCGAATCAAATATATCTTCATACTAAGCTTCCAAAAGGGAGGTATTTAAAAATATCAGCCAGACAATCGGGCTTGCGGAGACGTTTTTCAGGCAGCCCGACACGAAAGTTGCCAGCCTCGGGCAGGCGGGCAGGCCGTTATTTCGATCACTGCTGAAATGCGAATGGAAATGTATCATAATTTTAGAAATGTCAAATGCATGTCTGTATTATCAACCATATGCATTACGAGAGAGTATAAACTGAATTGTGTTTATTGTCTGTGTACGTGAACATCAATATGTATAGAATGTTGTGTTTATGTCTCAGCTGTTCATAATAAACGAATGGGTTTATTCTGTCTGCAGACCAAAGGTTGGGTGACGAGGAATTATAAGTATCCTTTGTAATGTTGGACGAAAAAAATATTATTACGTCATATCTGAAACTATGACCCTAGAATGAAAAGAGGCTACTTGTGGGAGATTTTGTTTCCTTTTGAGAAGCTTTCTTCCATGATGGCGGTTGCTAAGGATTGCCGCGATAGAATATGGATCTTGTTAAACCCTTAGCGGTGCATGATCAATCATATGATTTACTGTGCCTCAATCATGATTAAACCAGATGAAAATTGCTTCGATTTTGTGATTTATTTTCCTTCAGACATGTGCATAGTTCATATCAGTTGTATATATTTTCATATCAGCTATATTTAGAAGTAGTGATATCAGCGAGGACAGGGCTGGCATTCATGTAATATCCCGCCAGATATAACGGTACTGTACTAATTTTACCACAACGCCACCTGTGACGCCGCTTACCACATGCATGGGTTGATGAAGACAGTTTTACATCAGGCATCAATAGCCCATTTGAATGGTCACTTTAACATTTGCGGTTTATGGAAGCAGAAACGTAAGAGAAAACATCGAATCACTTACAGTCTGTTATATGTTTTTTTTCTATAATCTAAGGGGGCGAGTTTGAAGACGTTAACCAGTTTCTAAAACCTAGTGCAAGTCCGGGTTCAAACTGGTGCCCAGCACACTATGCTGGTCTTACGAGGTGAGTAAGATGATCAGGGGTCAGTTTCGGGGTTTGGTTGATTGTCGTCGTATCCCGGTGGCGTAAGGTGTTGTTCACACTATCAATCACTGATGTATGGGACATTACTCAATGGCTAAGTTTGGGTAATCAGGAGGGTAACTTTCGGATGGTAAAAGGTGATCGGGTTGTCAGGCTCGCCGACTTGGTTGAGACATGTCATCGTATCCCAGTTGCGTAGATCGATGCTCATGCCGTTGATCACTGGATTATCAGGTCCAGACTCGATTATTTACAGATTGCCATCATAGTGCTGGAATATTGCTGAGTGCGGCGTTAAACAACCAACCAACCAACTTTCGAATAGAGGGTGTTTTGCTGTGTCCTTATCAGAACACGTGTCAAAACCTGAGCGGGTTATGTCGAAGTTCATAAGATAATGTGTAACCGTAGCAAGGCAGACTAGTGGTCGTAGGCTGATCAACAATCGGTTTCATGGAAGTACGCACGGCTAATTCACAAAGACCTTTAACAGTCCTTTACTAGTAGCACAAACAACCATTGTGACCTTGGAATTCAGAGATTACGTATAGAGACAAGTTCTATTCAGGCTTCCTTCTGGTCTCTTATCGAGAACGATTTCTTCTTTCTAATTTTGCTTTTTGAAAGCGTACACAGCCTACATTGTGTAAATGCACTATTGATAGTGTTGATAGTGACGATTTTTCAGGACTGATTTTGTGACGTTGGGTTTTCACAATATTAAAGTCACAGGTGTTAATCGAGTTGATATTGTCCGATGCCAAGTGACGAAAGTTTTAAACGTGTTCCACTTCATGAAACTCACAACCGAGGGTATGCCACTGATTCACCAGGGATCATATTAAGGGCGAATCTTTAATTCGAACGCTGAACCATCGGATCATGGCACTTGAAAGGGACGCAACTCTTTATGGTGAGATGATATTTTTTGCTGGTTTCATTTTGTTTTCAGGACAGTCTATTAAATATCCTAGGGATGATTGCCCTCGTTTAAATAAAAACGGTTACTACCGCCTCCTCCTTGACCACATCGTTCACCCCCTCTTATATATTTTATAACAACCTACAATTGGTTGGGGGCACCAGTATCGAACTTACGCCCTTCTTTGAAATCATTGTGTGGCATGGCTATAATAGCAGAGTTACATAAAACAATATACAGGAGAAACAGGGAATTATGGGGGATATTACTCAAGTGTTTGGATGAATAGTGCCACACTTAACTCATTGTCATGTTTCGCTTCAGGTTTCTATGGAATCCTAGAAGGGACATTGTCGCTATGTCGCATTGTCACGTTGTTGTCCTTGGTTGATTGTAAAATATTGTTCGAAGCATGACAATTATCGCACTTTCGTTAATTTTCACACTTTTTGCTTGTTTGTGTTAGTGCGACAAAGCATATCCTTTCTAGGATTCCATACTATTCCGTCCGGCTGTTGGTTGATCGGAAAGCTCGGCGAGTCCATTGCTCGTGTGTTATGCTCATGTTCAAGTGTTAGCAGCACTTAGATACCCTTCGTAAGGGAAATCATTAGAGTCTATCCCTAGTTGGGAAAAAGGACATATACATGTCAACCGGGCTGAAGATATCTTCAACATGAATGGCTTTCGGAGACTTGTACTTTAATGCCGATTGTCCCTGTGACTTCTGTAAGACAAGAAATTATTTTCCTCTTCAGACGAATCAAGCAACATTACATTAGGGAACATATAAAGGAAATAAATATTTTAGCTCATTAATTTTCCAGAAGACGACTAACTGAAATCTCTTTACCTCAAGGAAGCACGGGCGACGTACACGTACAGTTTTACATACTTCCAGGCTGTGTCGGTGTGCTAACGTGAACGGGGAGCGTTGAGCGGATTAAGTCTGCGGGTCTCCGTTAATGAACACGGAAATAATAACCTTAAGCAGGAAGCATAATAAAACAACTTCAGCTTATTATTACAAATGTTTTTCCTTTAATGCCATGGAAATGTCTTCATGTTTGGATTATTAATAGGGAAGTAATAGTATTTTTTCTGTTTATTACATCAATACCAGACTAAATTGTTTACCTCAGTAGGATTATTATGATTGTTTTGCCATTTGTATTTTTAGTTTGTTACTTTTGTGTATTCGGGGACCCGAATGGCTCAGTGGTCAAAGGTACAGCAATTGCAAAGCGTAGTTGCCTTCCATGTTCGTGTCAGAATCCGGTGATCTTGAATAATTCCATTT